AAAGGTGGGGGCTAGAAGACAAAGAGAGATCATTTAGCACCTGGCTTGGGGGTGCAATGCCTTGAAACGGCATGTTATTTTTTTTCTCTCTACGATTAGAGCAAGGTCTTACACTTTTACAGCCTAAGACCATTTATAAGGCATTTTCGCATAAGTTAACTACTATCTGAGACCGGGAGGAGTGATTATTGACCTTTTTTACAAATTAAAAACCTAACAATTGGAAATGTTGAGAGCACCTGTGACATAAAACCAGGATAAGACTATGAATCTCTTGACTCCAGAACCAGTGCTCGCCTCAAGACTCCCGTCTCTTCTGCTCCCACCTTTTCCTCTCAACGCCCCCACCCACGAGGCTTCCACCCTCAAGGTGCAGACGCCCCACCTCTTGTATTTTTGCCTTCAAACACATCCTTGTTTGTCTGAACTCCCACCAGCTGTGTGTAGGACTTAACCTGCATACGTGTCTATTCAATATCATTCAGAAATGATAAAACCCTAAGCCTTTCTGTGGTGATGTCTATTACAAAGTTTTATTTACGAGACAATGCGGAAGGCCCCAAAGAGCACCAGGAACACACCTGCAGTCACACAAAGTGGGGTTTCCTGGCTCACCGTAACAAGAGAGCTGCTACCCAGGGAGAGTCCCAGACGTCTAGGAAGAGGAGGGAGGAGGAGGGAGGAGCAGCTCACTGTGCAGTTTCGACGGTGCAGTGATTTAGGGGAGGCTTCGAGGCAGCTTAGTTCTGCTCAGGATTGGGTACTATCATAAAGCAGAACTCTGATGAGCAGGTATCTTCTTAATTTTTATCAAAGAGGGAAGAGGAACAGAGCAGGGCTAAAGCTGTCACCGCTGTAAAAAGAAAGTCATCTGTGTGAGCTGAGCGAGGGGACCATTTGGTCGTTTTGGTGGATTGCAGCATTCCTGTTTTTATCTGTGTTCAGCGCTGATTATAGAGTGGTCTTTGTTGTCCTCCTGCTCTATCACCAATATAGAGTGACCCTGCCCCGTGCCAGTATTCTGTGCTCCTTTATCACCAATAAGAGAACACCAGGCCTGGCTATCAGAGCTGCCGGCTCTATCTAAGCTGAAGGCAGGCGGCAACTGCTGGTTTTGTTTTCTTCCTCAGTAATTTGTTCACTTATTCATAACACCTGTTTGTGTCCGGCAATTTCAAGGGGGTCTGGGGGCAAGATAAAAAAAAGATCCTATCCCTTATTGAGGTCACATTCCAGTGAGGGTAACATTCTTCATATGTTTATAGAAAACACACATAATAAGTAAAAGACTGAACTGAACAGTCTGTTAGAAGGTGACAAGTGCTGTGGAAATAAAGAAGCAGAGAAGGGGACGGGGATTGAGGACGTGAGTTGCAGTGAGATGGGAGGTGGCCAGGTGAGCCCTGTACCACGTGAAATGCTCACAGTCTTGAAGGAAATGAAGAGCATGGCCAGAACAGGGCCATCCAAAGAAAGGCTCCACCATCTCGTTTTAGAAACCAGGCCACTAAGACATGGAGGGGTAGAGGGATTTGTCTAAGACTATACAATAAAGGTGGAACCAGGGAACAGCTGGCTCTCCAGGTTCCTGGCCACAAGCTTCCTTTCCCGTAAGGCCCTGGATACAAGGTCCTTCTGCGTGGGACTGAATCCAGAGACAACTCCAGACTTACCGGCTAAGAGTGAACTCCGAAACCAGACAGAACTTTCCCATCGCACGCAGGTTCACCATATGTTTGTACACCCACAACAACCTGCTGGTGTCACCTGCTAAGTGATCCCCAGAGATCCAAACATTAGCCTTACTCCACAGAGGAGAATGTCAGTCTGTGAACATTTTTTTGAGACACAGTCTCACTCTGCTGCCCAGGTTACAGTGCTGTGGCATCAGCCTAGCTCACAGCAACCTCAAACTCCTGGGTTCAAGGGATTCTCCTGCCTCAACCTCCTGAGAAGCTGGGACTACAGGCACCCCCACCGACACTCAGCCAATTTTTTTTCTATTTTCAGTAGAGATGGGGGTCTCACTCTGGCTCAGGCTGATCTTAAACTCCTGGGCTTAAGCAATTCACCCACCTTAACTACTCATGGCGCTAAGATTATAGGCGTGAGCCACGGTACCTGGCCAAGCTATGAACATTTTAAATCCCTCATTCAACATCCCAAAGATTTAAAAAAAAGCCCTCAAAAGTGGGCTACCTAACTTCATAGGTCTGTTATGCAAAACACCACAGAACGCTATAGATGTTTATGTGGAATAACAGTATGTAAGCCCCTAGTAATACCTATTTCACGAATAGTTACGAAGCTTAAAAAAGTTTGCCCACATATTCCCAGGATAGCAAGGACATAGAAAAATAGCACTTCCTTTCCCACATGTGCTGAGTTGGAAAGAGCTTAGTGCCAAAAGCCTACCATGAGGACAGGGACTCTTTTGCCCTCTGCTATAGCCTCAAAACATGCCTCGGGGCAGGCACTATATAAATATTCAGTGGACGGATGGATGGAAGGATGCAAGCTCTTTCGTCTGCTGTTTGTTTTCAATCCCTAAAACATGCCTCAGTTCAGTGGCTCTCAGCAGGTCCCAATTGGGACCTTCCCTCCTGGGCAGGCCCTCCTCGGACCAGAGGCCCAGACCAGCCTTGTGGGGCAGTCCTTTCCCATGCAAACAAGATAAGCTGCCTCGTGGAGATCGAGAAGTCTAACAAGGTACCCTAGAAATGCCCTCCAAATCTGTTTGTATCAAAATATAAGATAAAATGAGTATCACCTTCCAGTGGTTGGCATACTGCAAAGCCAGAGTTAATGAGTACAATTATTAACGTGCTTTAAAGAAAACAAGCACACACACACACAAAAAAAAACAACATAAAACCAAAAAAGGACCCTGGGCACAGAAGACAAGCCATGAAGGATTAGTCAGGAAGCTTGGTTAAATACAAAACAAATTCCAAAATAAAAGGGACCATTAATTACTTTAGCAGTTGACAGCAAAAAAAAAAAAAAAAAAAATCTGGTCCCAGGAGCTTTGGTTTCAGTTCCTCAGTTCTGAGGCCCCTTTTTATAGCTGCAGGGCTGACCTTTCCTCATCTGCTCACGTCAGCCCTCTCCATCATGAATCTGGTTTTTTAAAAATACAAAGTAAATCCCCCCAGTGCTGTAATCAAGCTGCCTTCCTCGCTTGAAGGGTAACCTTCATAGAAAAGAGGCCATTTGATAAATTCCAGGAAAGTAAAAATAAAACATAATGGAAAAGATCGTCTCATCATCAAGGCTAATTATAAAGGAAGAGTAAATCACTTTTTTCTTCCCAAGTGTCTCTGGTTTATTAAAAAAAAAAAAAAA